ACACACACACACACACACTGTATCTCGTGCACCCGTTCGCGGTTGGCCGCAGATGAAACCGTAGTACCATCGGTTAATTTTAGTATAGTTATATACGCAATATATACAAAGCTAACGTGTATTTAAGATATTTAAGATATGCGGAGATACGTGTACAGGATACTCGAAGAACAAGAATAATCATATTTCTAAATTAACTGATCTGATGCTCCCTTCTACGGAGTATTATAATCCACTTTTAAGAAAAACTATAAAAACTATAAATTATAGTGCGCATGTAACATATATTCATCGCTCTTTATAGGCGACAATGTGGATTGTTGGATGGAAATTCAGCATGGCAAGGGTCCGTGGGCGCCACCCGTGTCTGGCATCGTGCCGCTTGGCTCCACTCTCACTCTGGTCGTCGCCATAAACGATTATCGAGGTAACGAGTTCTCCAGGTAGATGAAACTTTTCGGACGAACGGAACGCTAACGGGCGCTAACGTAATTTTCTGTTATTTAATCGAGCACAGGTGAGTTCGACATGCGGGTCAAGTCGTGCGTCGCTTCGGATGGAGGTGATCATACGATACAGCTTAGCGACGAGTTCGGCTGCGTGCTGAGACCGAAAATGATTAGCCGGTTCTTGAAAGCGCGCGGTTCGGACGATCGCGCGACCGTCATCACGTATGCCTTCTTTCATGCCTTTAAATTTCCAGATGCATTAAGTGTTCATATCAAATGCAAGGTAATAATCCATAATTTTCAAATGTATAATTGCGTAATGTTTGTGAGCATTCACATGGATTTCCTCCAACAAATGAAAAAAATTTGAAAATCAAATTCTTTTTTAAGGTGGAAATATGTCGACATGGTTGCTTGGATCATTGTCAATTGAGCGGTTCTGTAGCTCACTATATTCAAGAAAGAAAGGATCAAATACGACCGCAATATATTGAGAGTACATCAGCCTCTATCATTTCTAACGATAACGATAACAGTAGCGCGGACAAAGACAACGAAGATGCAAGTGACAGTGCGGAAGAACAGGAAGATAGTTCTCTGTACGATGACGTTATCCAAAATGGCGATGAAATGACATCGATCGGCGGACATTTCCTGGACGTTGAAAAATCAATTCCAAAAGCACAGGCACAGACGAGTAATCGACTACCTTTAACCGTGACTGAGACGCAACACGATAGCGAGGTCCATCCGGATAATGTCGATTTATCAAAACCATTTATGGTAAACGTAGAAATACGTATTATATTTAATTATAATTCGATTCGAACGAAATGTAAATAACATCGTTATTTGTCGTCTCTTTCAGGAACCATCGCGAGTAAACAGGTACGAGAGTGAGCAGGATCAATTCCCGCATGGACCACGGAATCTGGAAGAGAATGGCGATACGGTGCCGGTGACGCCGCTCTCCGCCAGCGTCACCCGCCGAAAACGCTCGGTGACGGTGACGGATAGAAAAGCGCGCAGTGCCGACGTCGGCGTCAGCGGTATTTACGAAGTCATCTCCGAAGCGGATCTGGCCTTTAGTCCGGACACGCACGCCGAGGCAGTGACGGTCTTTCAAGGCAGGATACGCGAGGAGGTCGTTTACGGGATCTGTCTGCCGGTGCCGGGTTTCAGCGCGCTTTTCATCGTCGTTGCGCTCTCGGCGGTCGTTTCCGCCCTCGTTGCGGGCGCGATGCTGCACCGGTTGCAAGCGCAGCGGGACGTCACCGCTGGTAGCAGGGAGAACGACCAGGCTGGGGTACACGCCAATAACAACGGCTGGCTATCTTATGGTCTACTCCGCGTGCGTTGCACCCCACGATCCACCCCTCATCACCCCGATCAACTACAACAAAAACAGATCAACGTAGCTTCGCAGATCGCTGCGGATCCGTCAATCGAGCGAAATTGACGACACTTGACGACGCTTGACGACGCTTAAGCTCACGATTTTAAAACGCGTGGGCCGGGTGTGTTTGAGGAGAGACAATGTGCAATAATACGCTGTACAAAGTATCATAAGTGCGTAAGGAGCTGCGCGCGCGATTATATCGAGCATAACAAGCATTTTGTAGAGAAATACGCGGAGGTGGGCTAAAAAAGATGGAAAACTATTATTTCTCACTAATGTTTGGATATCCTCCTGCGAATCGCGCGACAACATTGAATTCTCGCGAATCACAGGATTGTTGAGAATTCTATTTCTGCTAAATACTTGTATTAGTCTGATTTTAGTGAAACTATTTTGTAATTCTCGTAACGTGAATCTCATAACGCGATTTTCCATCGTAAATTTCGCATTGTTATTTCTCCTGAACTCTTGTTAAGCAACGACAATATCATACTGTTTTCATAAATCTCCTTGCAAATAAATTTTTAATCGAATTCTGGATTAATCGATTCTGGAAGATGAACAATTATGAGAATCACTGATAGACAGATCGCGATTTTGCGAAGATTTTGATTAATAATAAAAATCATGGGTAAAAATCATGTAGAAAGTAACCTAAGAAAATAATATAGAAAATATTTCATGATTATTGTATTAATAGATACTCGTAAGATTAATGTATTTTCTTTTTTGTCATACGAATAGTAAAAATGATACAACTACGATCGCTCCGGTACATCGAGTTTTAGAGAATTTAGATTATTAACAGGTATTATTATACTGTGTTTATGAGTCTCTAGGATATTGAATCGTGTTCGATTCTACGATATATTCTCGTCATATAGAGATCGTTAATTATTTGCTCTAAGGAGGCTAAAAGAAATATTTATCTCGGATATGGCAAATGTGTATAAAATATGTTAACAGTTTTTTGGGGAAAGCGCTGATACAAAGCAAATAAATATTCAAGTCCCATCATATCCACTCCTTTACTCTTCTAAAGTTTCCATAAGGTTCCCACGGGTTTGTGCGCAAGATTTGAAAAAGAATTTATAATTTTTCCCCGTTTAAATTCCACATAGATAAATAGACTGTTGCAAATCATAGTATATATTAAGACATATAATTTTCGTTTTAATCGAATTTCTGATGAATTTCTTACCTGATATACATAAGTAAACACATTGAAACTGTTCATACCGAAATGTCTCACGCAAAGATCTTTTCCAAAGATATTTGCGATATGGATCGTATCTTGTATTTATGATACAAATTGTATTCGTTTTCCTTCATCTCACATGAACTTATTTAAATTTTAATAATGAACGAACAAAAAATTTCATTTCTTTACTCGTCCAAAAGACTTGCAAGTTGCCAAGTATGTAATATTTAAAATTAGATGTTAAGTTATTCATACATACATGCATACACGTGTAAAAACTTTTCATACACTTAGATTGAATAATTTTAATTTAAGCGCAGCATTTGTACACGCGCGATCAGCATTAAGCACTAGGCTGAAAATTTAAAAACATGACATCGCCTGTGACAGCGAATGAAAAACGTTCAAACAAAAGTAAGGCGATATAATACAACTATTTAGTTGAAAAATTACGTTTTTTATTTAATATGAATAAATAAATAAATAAGTAATAGAAAATGGCAAGAAATATATTTACTTTTTAATATACGATTTAATATACGAATTTTTAATATACGATTGAACCCCAATTATAATTTATTTTGTATACAAAGATACAAGATCAATTGATTGACTTTATTGATTAATAAAATAACTAAATAAAGATTTATATGAAATTAATTAAATGGCCGAAGAAAATTCGCAACTTGTAGGATACCTCTTGCGTATTACTATACGTAGGTCTACCTTATGCACTAGATAGATCACGCTGCAAATATAAACTAATGACTGCATACACGATTCTGTATATGATTTATTGAATTGTTTTACTGAATCGCATTTTTTTTTAACAAATTTTCTAATAGCAACTATTAATTCAACTATTTGATCGTAGTAACAATAGTGCGATAGAAAATACAAGACACAAGACACAAGATTGTCGCGCGATGACCTTATCAAAATTGTATCTTTTAGAAAATAGCTTAAGATTCATACAATAATGTTAACAACATGCACATGAAACAAAGCAAACCTCGTCTTACAACCAAGACTGCATAATTTATTATTATTTGCTGTTTCATATACCATATACAATATTTTGGCACTTCTGATTTTCGCAAAATCTCCCATATAAGAGAAAAAGTTATATAAATAAACTTAAATAAGTAAATATTTCTGAAAATATAACTGAAAATTTCTCATTTTGGTGATACGTATTCGTTCGTCAATAACTTAATTTTTAATTACTTTATTGATTGCAATAAAATGATATTTTTGCACTTTGTAACTTTATTTTAGTTTGCCGCGTATGTGGAATATATTTTATATAGAATTCTGTTCAAACATCTTCAAAAATATCTTTAAAAAATTTGAATGGATGAATAGGTAATAAATATAAATAATAATATTAACAATAATTATTATTAACATAAATGCTATATTGTAGACTATTTTGTAGTGAAATTTCCACTTTATTATTACCTAGTCGCGTATTGAGCATTGTTAAACGAGAATCCCAAATACCAAAAAGAGAAAAAGACTAAATAAGTAGGTAAGTAATAAACGCAGAAACAGGTTTGATTATCTTTGACTAAATTTTCGGCGTATTGCCTATGTTTTTGCCTATAAAGGCCTGAGCTTAAGTTTCATTATGACGAAGCACAACTCTATGGAGACGTTATCACGTTAGGAAAAACGCAGCTTTACATAAAGTCGTGCTTGCGACACTCGGATAGCCTCTAGGAAACCTGAAGATTCGCGATTTCGAAGACCAGTTTTATATAAAGTTCGCCTGGTCTTATTGTAGAAATGCTCCGTTGCGTATATGTTTCATCTCTCTTATTTCGAAATCTTGTGGATAAACATATAAATAAATAAATATATAAAAAATACTGTCAGTTAATGGCCAAAGGTATTTAAGATATAGAAGATTTCTATCCGTTTACCGCTAATTTTTTGTCTTGACAAAGCATTCGCAGCCAAAACTAATCTTCTTTTCTCTGCACGATCGCATTCGTCCAACGGAGGTACCAACCTCTCGCGAGGACACGTTTCAACACGATATTGCAGAGAAAATCACGTAAAAACCGGTTTCGAAGAAGAGGACTGTGCGATTCGATAGCCCAATTCTTCCAGCGCAAAGATATGAGGAGGATCACCGGAGGATCACTCGGGGGTGATTCGGCGTGAATATCTATTTCTATGAGTAAAAGCACGTTCTCGAAGATTTCTTCGTCGCACCGTTCTGTTCGACGTTACAAAACGCCGCGGATTTCTTGGCTCTCGCCGAGAAGGGCCTGAGACGCATAAAGAGGTAGGCGGACAACACACAGGAAGAAAGCAGAACGGCGAACAATACGATGAGGGTAATCGCGAATCCAGGAGTGGTCATGCAGATCATAGTCGAGCTGGCCGTGTTCTCCTGACGTTGCGGGAATACCATCGTTGGTCCCTGGTTCGGCTCACCGTTGTTGCTATCGTCGATGGAAAAGGTCAAGTCACCGGTTGAGACAACTCGAATAATCTGATTCACACCTACGGCCTTTTGCGGATTATGTACGATCTCTCGGGATTTCCTCCTCCTTTCGTCTCGGGGTCGTCCAGCCGCTGCCTGTAAATAGGCTTCCAACGGCGGGATTGGAGGCGGAAGAGCGTATCCGACATCGGGATGCCTACTCCCCGTCGAGGAGTGATGGTGGTGATTCTCCAGAAGACCCTGATTCTCCAAAAGCGGCGACGATTCCGAACACTGATCCGGACATTGATATCGGCAGATCTGTATAGTACACTGGAAATGTACCTCCATGGAATCCGGAAATTTGAACGCCTGGAAATGAGCGTACGACAGCACCGACGCTGACGCGCCGAAATTTTTAATTTTTGTAAATCTGGACATCAACTTTGGTCGTGTGATACAGCCTCGTTGGTCCACCAATTGTATCGGCGCGCGTTTGCCATCGTGGGCCATGCAATTTCTCACGAGCATATCGAATTTCGAATCGTCATCTTTGATCGCGAGTACCATCGTCATCGTTTGACCGATCTTGACTAGTCCCGAAACCTCAGAAGCCCACGGACCTTTGCCAACCTGTATTTGCATCCAGCATCCGACGTTGTCACCGGCGAAATCCGCGCGAACCACATCCAACATGTCTACGGGAAACGGACGAAACGTGACCGATTTTTCGTACAGATCGTGCCAGGTACAGCGCAGTTTTCGCGCCTGGTCCCAGACCTCTTGCACCTGAGGATCGTATTGCACCACTATAATATTCTCGAAGAACGTCCCGGATCCGGACTCGGCACCGTAACCGTACAATCCGTTCTCCGTATTGCCGGCCGTGCCGCATGCGTGTATGCTGATCTCGAAGTTGACGGATGTGCGACCAAGTCCCGCGGGTAGATGTACACAATTAATGTTACTGTAGTGACCTTTACTAAAGACTATACCGTAGAACGGCTTATCGAAACCGAGATAAACTTTCATCAGGCTCTTCTCACATTTCACATCCAGCGACACGATCTTGGGCATATCAACCGTTGGCACTGGCCATGGTTCGACGCCAATCCCGGTGCCAACACCACTGCCAGTGGTATAGATCTTATCCATGGCTTCCGATTGCGCTTTAGACGGCGGCAATGGCGGTGGTGGACCGTGATAAGCGACATTATGATGCGGACGCGGCAGACTCACAGCACCTCGACTCGGTGGTAGCAAGGGATGACCTCGAAGACCACCCGACTTATAATGGTTTCCTCCCGCTATAGAATCCTTATCCGCAATAGAATCCAATGCCAATTGATCGGAATTAATTAATTCGTTATCCTGGCGATTCAGTGCCGAATTCTCGTTTCGATTATCCTCTCCCGGAATCGCTTCCACAACTTCGACCTCTTCGGCTCGAGCCAGCTATAAGAAAACCAAATAATTACGCGTTGGCAAACAAAAATTGCATTAACAAATATATTTCAAATATATTCGTGTCTCCAATTTTAAAGCTATTATAATATATAAAGAATATATTGTAAGAAATAAAAAGTGACTGGTTCGGATGTGTGCAATGTGAAATGGTAGAAGTTTGTCAAATTCTTGCGAAACTCTAGTCGTGCATTTTTACGACGCTATGTCAGAATCTTAACTTCTTTCGGATCGTAAATTACTTATATCACACTCGATTTACAATAAAACCAACGATCACATCGAGATTTTATTCGCAAATTTCATCTTTCGCATTCCGATCGCGCGCTGATGAATGTGACAAACGTCACGATTCGGGGTACTAATTTTTGGGTACACACACCGACGAAAAAAACGACGAGACAACGGTATTCTTCATTTCTCACGCTTCGCGCTCAATGAAAAACCTAAGTATGTCAAACTCGATAGAATCGTAGTAAGCCGAGAATGGCGGTACTCGACTCGATCGTCCGTTTCGATTATCCGATCGGACAAATGGAGCGATCGTCGAAAGAGTTATTTCCGGTGGCGCGACAGCCGAGGGCAACACACGGCACGGGGGACAAGTCGCCGGCGGCGACAAACCTGTTCCGAGTATTCAACGAACGTCAAGTTGGAGGTTCGAGCCGGACGGTGGGGATAAGGG